GCTGCCCCCCCCATCTCCCCACGCTCCGTCCCTCCCCACGCACGCCACTTGCTGCCCGTGTGCCCTCCCTGCCGCCGCCGCCTCCATTATCCTCCCGCCGCTCCCGCTCCGCGCCCGCCGCCGCCGGGAGGTAGGATGGGGCTGGGGGGCGCGGAGCGGGCGCGGAGCCGGGCTCGCCGCGACCCCCGTTTGGGAGGATGCTCTGCGCGGTAACACGTCCTTCTCCGGGAGACGGGTGCGGGGGTCCGGCCCTCCAGCATGCCCCTGGTGGGGGCCGGTGCTCATCTCCACCCTGGATGCCCACCCAGACTCCGGGCCCGGTGCGAGCGCAGTTCTCTGGCACACACAGGACCGCATGTGTTTTTTTTTCCTTTTTTATTTATTTTTTTAAATTGTTCTTCTTCCTGCTTTCATTTTTTTTTTTTTAAGCCTTTCTAAGGCAGCTAGAGCAAGAGTCTGACAACAACCCACCTATAGACAGAAGAGGGAAGACATGATGGGAGTGTGTTACTTACTACGGACTGTAGCCTTCCTTTACCCTAGTCCTTGTTTTGCATCACTTGTTAGTTGGCAAGAACGTTCCCCAGGTCCTTTGCAGCAGGATTGCTTTAATTTTTTTGAAAGGCCAGTTCTGTGTCTCCTTCTACAGGCAGATTGTCAGCTGCAGAGTGGGTGAACCTGTCCCTGTATTTTGCCTGTTTAAAGAGCAGTTGCTTTGCTTTTCCATCACCAGTGACATCAGGGTTTATTAAAACATATCAGTTTTCTGGTGTTTCTCTGGTTTGGTGTTGGTGTTTTCTGGCTGCCATGAAGTGGAGCTCTTGGCTTACGGCTGAGCTGGAGTAATTCCTGGGCTAGAGTTCCAGCTCTGGTGGGTGAGAAGGAGGGGGGTCATGTTTGAGCCCACAGAGCTGGTCATGGAAGCACTGTGACCCTCATCAGTGCGGCACTTTGGGGCTTCACTTATTTAATACCAGTGTCTGAAAGGCTGTGGCTTAGGGTACATTACATTTTTCTGTTTGCAGTAGACCAGGTTTGATGGAATTTACCAGGTTGACTTGAAAGATGTTGATATCTCACTAGTACTAGTTCAGTGGCAGAAATTACTAAAATCTGGCTAACCAACCTGGCCACAGGGTTAACAACGCGGGGCGTTTTTATGTGGGGGAAGGCGAGTTGCTTTGTTTCTTTTTTCTATTTTTCTAAGATGACATTGGCTTGTGTTGTTTTTTCTTTTAATTCCAGTGGTCTTTAATTATATTTTTGCATCTCAAAAAACCTCCAAAACATCTTAGAAAGATGTTTGCTAGTTTGGCCTTTAGGGCATCTTTGCTTGAAACAAAAATAGCTTGAATGCTTTCTTGGTGTTAGGAGCTGATGAAGACAGGGTCTCTTGGACCTCAAGAATTTTACTTCTCACATCACTTTTCTATTTAGCAGCTAAAAAGATCTGTCTAATAACATCACATTCAGTGGAAAGTTGTGATGAAAGTTCTTATGGCTTGGTGTCTGTAGTTTGAGATTCATCTGACCACTTGTGGGCAAGGAAGGGGTAGCTTCAGAGTGCTTTTCCTCTGAGTTCACAGTCTGTGCCTGCGTT